TAAAAACTTACTCGTGCTTGTCCTACTCCAAGCCGGGGCTGCAGTACGTCTCTTTGTGATTGCATCCCCTCAACCCCGGCTGTTTTATGATTAAGCTGACATTACAATTATATATCACTTAAATTAACTACATGAATTTCACATTCCCACAGATCCACTACAAGTGGTTAACTATCAGTAGGTCATAAAAATGTGGCCATGCAAGAATAGAACTAGATGAGCTTGTCGTCATTCTATTACGGTGTTAAGATCTGGATTTGGATCTAGACTTGTTTTTTATATAATGTGAGTGAGAAAATAGACCTCATTAAATGAAATCCAGTACATTTGTGCTAATTATATCGAGCAGACAATAATTAAACGAGATTAATTCAACTGTTCAGTTCCACCGCAATTCACCTACGTAAAAAATATAATATTTCAAATCACCAGTTAGTCGTGGTGGTTCGGAGATTAAAATATAAATAACCGATGTGACTTTTTCCAAGTTAAATTTACCTTATCAAAGTTTGTTTAGATATAACTGACGATGACATGTGTCATATCGTGTCATACGAAGAAAGAAATTATGATGAGGAAATCCGATTTTATAACTTTAAATTATAAGTTTAAAGCAGTGACATCTTAGAAGAGGCTTTTGCACAGCAGCAGTTATAGAAACTAACGCGATGCTGATTGCTACGCAGCCAGGGCTGCGGGTACAAGCGCAACAATGTGTGGCGGTCCCAGCTCGGAGCAGGAGAAGGATCCGGATGGCTTTTAGTCAATAAGAGTTTCAAATACCTTCATACACCACCCAAAGCGCAAAATAAGAGAAGTTTTGCCCTCTAAGCCTTTTGACTACTGACAGAAAACTGTTGAAGGCAAATCTTCCGTTAACGGAGGTCATCGGTGACCCCCATGGCGTTTAACGTGTTAACTTGTAAAAGATCTACTGCCACGAGGCTAGCTTGAGTCTATGTTATGCATCAGGACATCACATTCTGATTGTGGTTAGGAGTCGGATGTCACTGTAAACAGATGTGGTAATTCCATACAAAGTCGACATACCGCTACGGTGCTGCTATGATTCTTTTTGAATACCAAGATTCATTGTTCTGTCGCCACAAAGGTGATACAATGAGGCCATAATTATAAATATTATTGTCAGATAGATTAAAACAGTTGAAAAGAATTAATAGTTGATGCAGTAACATTATCTGTTTCTGAAAAAGATCCCGATTTATATAACTACTAGCTCTTACCCGCGGCGTCGCTCCCGTCATTTGACTACCTACCCTACCTACCCTACTATAACTACCCTACTCTACCTACCCTACTCTTCCTACCCTACTCTACCTACCCTACTCTACCTAACCTTTTTTTTTTTTTTGGTGTCGTGTTGGAAAATCCTCATGGAGACCCATCGCCCTCGGGGAAGGGCGAAGGGTACTGTCAGACTCTTACTGACTAAAAACCAACCCGGTGTTCCTCCAATAACCCATGTGTCGGAGGGGCGGGTATCGCCGAAGCATTCGTCGCAACCCCCCGACGGGTGTTGGCCCTCCAGATGGTAAGGCGGGCCCCGTCACCCACTGCGGCCGTCACCCCGACCGCAGGATACTCTACCTAACCTACTCTATCCAATCCTATGTCCTTCTCCTGGCTCTAAACTACCTCCCTGCCAATTTTCAGCTAAATCGGCTCAGCCGTTCTCGAGTTATAAGTGGTGTAACTAACACGACTTTCTTTTATATATATAGATATCACTAAAAAATGCCGATAAAAATCAGAAAAAGCTTAGATTTCTAGATAGATTATTTGCCAAGGATTAAGTTTCGTGTCTCTAGCATATTGTTATTGATACCAGTTACTAACAACGCAGTTTCTTTTCAAAAGCTTCAATTTAAATAAAGTTAAAACTTGAAACACAATATACGGGACAAAAAATCTGACACAAAAAACTAAAAGTCTTCAAAGGAAGTTACATCATTGTGTTTCAAGATAAAAGAGATTACGGCGTTTTTGTTTTTAAGTAAAACTCCGATTATGGATAGGTTGTAATCAGTCAAGTCTTTTTATGTTGCAAAATGTAGTGAATAAATGAAGAGTCAGTTCTTAATAATTACAAAGCGGGACGAGTACTGTTGGGAATCGGAATAAGAACATTTTTAATGATCCGGGATTACTTTGACCTTTCCTCTTTCTGACGTTAGTGAAATACTTAATTTCATTGGTTCATTTCAGTATTAAACTTAAAGGTCGTATTCAAAAGTATTTTTGGTGATAGCTTTTTCTGTGCCCTTCACTTGCCTATTATCTCTTATAGGAGATTGACTACAGTCAAAAAGGAAGCTTTATCCTGCCATTTTAGCAAATTAAGAGCACTTGTATTACAGTTGCTTTAGGTATTTTTTTTTACTTTTATACTCGGCGTTAGATTTAAAATAAATATATATTTTTATAAGACGAAGTTTTTTTTGTTACGTTTTGAAAGTACCTATCTACCTACTTCATATGAACTCAACTCGTACATTGCCTTATTTAGCATATAAATTAAACAACCACAACTCTCTCTCTTTTCGTATGTGATTATCGCAGTGAGCAAGTTCTTTGTCTAAACATTAAGCATTCGATAACGTTTTAATTACACAGATAATAAAGTAAACAGAACGGGCATTCTATTTTCAGTGTGGGAGGTATTTTACGAGTCTTATAATGATTGCTAAAGAGTTATTCAAAGCTAGGAACTGGAGATCAGCTTAGTAGTGTCCCAGCTGGACAGCAATGTCCAGCAGTCGATGAAAACGGGCAAAAAAGTTTATGAAGAACAAAAAAATTACAGTTGCAACTTAAAACCTGCTTTAGACTACCCAATTATTATTGGCATTAGCTACGTACGCGTAATTTAAAATTATTCTTAGACAATTTTAACGCAATTTTCAATTAGCTACACAATTCAATGAGACATAGGTAAGTACTGTAAATACCGAAGTCTAGCATTTACAGTTTAAGAATGGATTATATGGATACTAATACAATGTGATGAGTATTTAACTAAACTGCAGTAAAAGTAAGGAGTAAGAAATCTATACTAATATTATAAAGAGGTAAAATTTGTAAGTTTGTATGTAGGGGGTAATGTTTGGAACCGCTGGTCGGATTCCCAAATTTTTTTCACTTATTGTTAGCTACAATGTTCCCCAGTGCTATAGGCTATAAAACATCACGCTAAAATCAAATGGAGCCGAGCAGCGAGTGAAACCGGGCGGGACTAGCTAGTTTCAATTATAAACGCTTAATCTTGATTGCTGAGCCGAGCCAGCGGCAATGGTAGAGGAGAATCCACTTGCATCCCCACTCTTCCCGCGAAGTTTGTAACCTGCCAACCTTCTTACCTGGAGAAGGAGTAACCAGAGTGTTTTTCTTTGTGATATAGTCAGCTAGGGTTGCGGTTGTGGTTGCGAGCGCTATAATATACCGCGACCCCGACTTAGAGCAGAAGGAACGGGAGGTTTTTTATCAGTAAGAATCTGAAACTCGTTTTCGGGGTGAAATGACGGGAAGAGAAGAAATTATGACTAAACCCGCCTCAAAAAATATTGGTGATTTTTTTTTATGATTGGTTAGAATAAGTGATAGGTCGTCTGTTAGTTGATTACCTACCAGGATAATAGAAGTTAGGGACCATCTAAAACATGGTCAGTTTTCTATAAAATTGAATGTGCTTTGCGATTTTAAACCATAGCGAAGTATTTCGAGCCCACGCGAGTTTTCATTTAATATTAATCGAGGGAAACTGGTTACAGGAGTGTGGGCGTTTGCTGTACTTATGCAATATGACGATTTCTTACTCAGGTTAGGTGGATACCTAAGTAATGAAATTATTTAATTCTGTCTCGATCTGTCTGGAAGTTGCGAGTAGTGGGAGGATACAAATATTGCGCAATATGATTACAACTAGGTAGGAACCTACTGCATTGAAAAAAAACTTCAGGCTTAGTTTAACATCGAAAAGCATGTTTTTTTAATCATATGGTTGCTTTGCTTAGACAACTTTCCCCATTTAGCTGTTTTTAAGCTTTTCATTGTAAGGTGTCGAAGGAAAATACCTGTATTAATGCATTATTTTAGTTTTATTTACTGTAAATTGTAACTAGATTGCACTGGATTCGCCATCGACCTCCTACTATTTCGTAGACAAATTTCAAGCACTCTGAATGTCAAACTTTGACCTTGACTCGTAATTTTAGTGTCATAGACATTTCGGAGGATAACAATATTTATTTTAACGGCTGTGTTATTACCTATGTATTACGCATTCAGGTAATATTATCATAAAAATAAAATTTAATTTAGTTTGAAGTCGATATGCAGTTAGGAGTACCTACTAGAAATGTTTCTTTCAACTCAATAAAATGTCACTATCACAACAAACATTTAGAACTACTACAAAAATACACTGCCGCCCACGAAAACACACTACGGCGACACATCGAAATAAAAAAAATACGTTGTTTTTTTTTAGAATATCCCACGCGGTATCTCATGGCGCCTGTAAAAGTAATAAAAGAAACCAGTTATGGGCACAAGTCGCCGACATACAGCCATTAGGAGCATTTTCGCCTAAAAAACACTTTACATCCATTTCTGATGTTACAAGCCTGTTGTTCCACCTAGAGGATACGGTGGAGCATACGGTAGCGGTATGCCCTGCCTGGGCTGAGCACCGCCGTATCCTCAGGGAAGTGATCGGCGGCGGCGACCTCTCGCGCCCGGCCTTAGTCGAGGCCATGGTGCGGAGTGAGAGGAACTGGGACGCCGTCTCCTCCTTTTGTGAAGCAGTCATGCTCGCAAAGAGAGAGGCGGCCCGCGTGAGGGAGCAATCCTCCTCCTCACGCCCCAGCAGCCGCAACTGGCGACACTACGGGCGTCGGGGATCGAGGGACGATCTCCGGCCACCGTAAGTACGGGCCTGCGGTCGGCGAGTAAGGGCAGCTCGCCGCCCGACCAGAATCCAGGCCCGAGCGTACGGCGCGTAGCGTTCCGCGCGCGCCTCAAAGAGCCAATAGACCACCACAGACGGGGCCCTAAAGGGCTGATGTTCAGCCGGGGTTGCGGGGTAAGCGCAATAAGGTACCGCGACCTCGGCACAGAGCAGGAGAAGGAACAGGGGGGTTTTTAGTCAGTAAGAGTCTGACACTCCCTCCTGCCCGGCCCTGGGCGGGAGAAGTCATTTGATGATTTTCCCCTCACAAAAAAAAAAAAAAAAAAAAAAAAAAAACAAGCCTGTTGTTATGGCAATAGACAATGATTGAAATGTTTTAATTCCCAGACTGGTCAAGTAAGAACTTCTTTCACATAATAGAATTTTAATTGATGTTCTTTCTGTGATAGCAAAAAGTTAACACTTCATTTAAGTCAGTGAATTAAATACTTTTTCTTTCATAAGAAAGTAATTAATGATGTCTACTAACTTACACTAAACAATGTGCTACTACTACTATAAAAGTTGTAAAACACTGATTTAAAAGCAACTTAATTAAATTTATAATAATATGTGGGAACATCTAGGTACTCCTCTTTTATTTATAGTCTCACAAAGTGATATTTTTCCTGCACCAAACAGGTACCTCATTGGCTGACTGGGAGGAAACTGCAATGAATATCACCAGTCCTTATGACTAAGACTTGCTATGCCTAGGTATTAAATATATTATGGATATGAGACTTCAGTAAACGATTTAAGTGTTTACATCCAATATTATTTATTTTAACAATATTTATTTTAACGGCTGTGTTATTACCTATGTATTACGCATTCAGGTAATATTATCATAAAAATAAAATTTAATTTAGTTTGAAGTCGATATGCAGTTAGGAGTACCTACTAGAAATGTTTCTTTCAACTCAATAAAATGTCACTATCACAACAAACATTTAGAACTACTACAAAAATACACTGCCGCCCACGAAAACACACTACGGCGACACATCGAAATAAAAAAAATACGTTGTTTTTTTTTAGAATATCCCACGCGGTATCTCATGGCGCCTGTAAAAGTAATAAAAGAAACCAGTTATGGGCACAAGTCGCCGACATACAGCCATTAGGAGCATTTTCGCCTAAAAAACACTTTACATCCATTTCTGATGTTACAAGCCTGTTGTTCCACCTAGAGGATACGGTGGAGCATACGGTAGCGGTATGCCCTGCCTGGGCTGAGCACCGCCGTATCCTCAGGGAAGTGATCGGCGGCGGCGACCTCTCGCGCCCGGCCTTAGTCGAGGCCATGGTGCGGAGTGAGAGGAACTGGGACGCCGTCTCCTCCTTTTGTGAAGCAGTCATGCTCGCAAAGAGAGAGGCGGCCCGCGTGAGGGAGCAATCCTCCTCCTCACGCCCCAGCAGCCGCAACTGGCGACACTACGGGCGTCGGGGATCGAGGGACGATCTCCGGCCACCGTAAGTACGGGCCTGCGGTCGGCGAGTAAGGGCAGCTCGCCGCCCGACCAGAATCCAGGCCCGAGCGTACGGCGCGTAGCGTTCCGCGCGCGCCTCAAAGAGCCAATAGACCACCACAGACGGGGCCCTAAAGGGCTGATGTTCAGCCGGGGTTGCGGGGTAAGCGCAATAAGGTACCGCGACCTCGGCACAGAGCAGGAGAAGGAACAGGGGGGTTTTTAGTCAGTAAGAGTCTGACACTCCCTCCTGCCCGGCCCTGGGCGGGAGAAGTCATTTGATGATTTTCCCCTCACAAAAAAAAAAAAAAAAAAAAAAAAAAACAAGCCTGTTGTTATGGCAATAGACAATGATTGAAATGTTTTAATTCCCAGACTGGTCAAGTAAGAACTTCTTTCACATAATAGAATTTTAATTGATGTTCTTTCTGTGATAGCAAAAAGTTAACACTTCATTTAAGTCAGTGAATTAAATACTTTTTCTTTCATAAGAAAGTAATTAATGATGTCTACTAACTTACACTAAACAATGTGCTACTACTACTATAAAAGTTGTAAAACACTGATTTAAAAGCAACTTAATTAAATTTATAATAATATGTGGGAACATCTAGGTACTCCTCTTTTATTTATAGTCTCACAAAGTGATATTTTTCCTGCACCAAACAGGTACCTCATTGGCTGACTGGGAGGAAACTGCAATGAATATCACCAGTCCTTATGACTAAGACTTGCTATGCCTAGGTATTAAATATATTATGGATATGAGACTTCAGTAAACGATTTAAGTGTTTACATCCAATAAGAATTATGTGCAGCTGCACATTTATATGCGGAATTCTTAATGTTGAATCATCTTACTTTTTTATATCTTTATATGAACAACTGCAGCAAGTATCTACATATATTAGCTCATAAGTGTCTGTGTAGTTCCTTTCTCAATGCCCACATTGATAGAGCAGGAAATTAAGTCTTGAGACAGTGAATAGGCAGTTTAGGGAAGTAACAAACTGTCATTGTTTTAAGTATAGACAAGTAATTACTTCTGTCTCCGATTTCCGTTCATAAAATAGCGTGAGCTGCTCATAAAAAGGTAATAAAATTTTTTGGGATATTCGTGTATATGAATAAGTGTTTAGATTATGATTATGAATGAATTTTGAACAGTTTATTCTTGGTTTACGTGGTGTTTTAAGTATGATTAAGGAAGTAAATGTTTTGAAAAACACATGTTCTGAATATGCGGCGGCTAAACAGTCTGTAACTATAATAACCACCTACTTTATAAAACTTTGCATCAATAAGCATACAACGCGATATGCATTGTCTAAAATGTAGTACAACGCTGTACTTTATAATCTCTAATTCTAAGAAATGCAGGCACTAACGTATCGAAATTTTTGTTCCAAGTGGTTATCATACCAAATCGATTTGATGACAAATAAACGACACCGCGACGCTAAGACAGCCGGCATGTAAAAATAACAAGGATACGTATCTAAAACACTCTACTACACTTACAGAACATAAAACAAGAACCAAAATAAAATATTATACGTAAAACGCATAGAAATGCAGCACGATTTATTTATAAAACTGGACTTACCAGCAACAACTGTATCGCTCAGGTCATACTTCACTGGTTTAGGAAACTCCTTCAACTTGCGTCCACTAAGTTTTAATTCACCACTCAAATAAGCATCTTCCAAAATTCTCTCTAACGATTTTGTTAACTGACTATGAATATTATTGTGCCCATTCATATTTACACTTACACACGGCCCTAACACGGCCATATTCTTTTTGAACTGAAAAGAAACTGTTTTTTTTTGTCTTTAATTTGCATATTGCCAACTTTACGGTATCGATGGGGTAACAGCTAACTTCACATTGGATCTATATTGTTTATGAAATAAGGAAAGGTATTCACCGCATCGATGAAGAAATTTTATTTTCATTACTTAAAAAAAAATATTTTCGTGATGGAAATCATAAAAACACAGGATAGAAGTTAATTTATCTCAGCGTGTATGTAATAAACCTTAATCAAATCAAAGTACATAATGAAATTAACTAAAGAATAACAACATTGTGATATTTTATAAACAAAAAACACATATTGGAAATATTATTCTAATTAATCCTTTTTATGGCCTATTTTCAAAAATAAATCCATTGCTTCATTATTTCAGTATTCATTAAAAACGAGCTAAAAAGCCAATAAGTTGAACAAACAATCGATGAAAATAATTTCCACACTATACAGTTTTGAGACTGTCAAAGAGTAAAGTAATATAGCGGGAGACTGTCTTCCTTTCTGCTCTACAGCCCCACAATGCCCCACATGGACTTTTTGGCGGGAGTTCAAATATAGCGCATGAAAAGTTTTTTCATTTGTGATTTTTTTTGAATCTAATATTTTATTTCATTGTAAATTGCATGTAAATAGTAAAGTGTACATAATAGTGTATTAAACATGGATGTTGGCGAGGGCGGGGGCCCAAAACCCCCGGCCCCAAAAAAACATAAACTTAAAGACTTGGACGATGGCGGCGGGGGTAAGGAAAGTGATTTTTTACCGGATACAAAAGAGTTCAAAGTTTACGTGCAGGGTGAAAAAATTGGCAATAAAAGTCCAACCTTTTTAAATCATATATTTGTAAATGAGGTAAAAGGTGTAGTAGCGATTCGTAGAATCAATGCTAACAAGATTGCGGTGGTGTTCAAGCAGTATAATACTGCTAATAATTTTCTATGTAACTCTTCATTTCTGGAGAAGTACAACTTTAAGGCGTTCATACCAGCGGCAGACATAGAAAGAACAGGAATTATCCGATACGTACCCACAAACATCTCTAACAAGGAGCTTTACTCAAAGCTAGAGTCGGAGTACGAAATAATTGCAGTGCGACGATTCACCAAGAAGGTTGGACAAGAACGGGTACCACTTAATACAGTGAGCATTACCTTTCTGTCCAGTTCTTTACCACAAAATGTACAATATGACTTATTCTCTTACCGCATTTTTGACTATATCCCTCCTCTACAACAATGTTACCGTTGCTTCAAATTTAACCACTCAGCCAAAATATGTAATGGCAAACAAAAATGTAGCATTTGTGCTGGGGACCACTCATATAGAGAGTGTGATAACCCCTCAGCAATCTGCTGTGCTAATTGCGGTGGACCACATTTAGCAATTTCAAAGGCATGCGAAATCAAGTTAAAAAAGATAATGGAAAAAAAGGAACGTATTACTTACGCTAGTAAGGCTGAAACTAAACTTAATGTGACTCAGGGAGATTTCCCACCATTGCGCAAACCAAGACCTCAGGTCAATGTAAATAAAAATTCTGTTGTAAATAAAAATGTAAATTCTGCACCTATAAATAATGTACCTGTAAATACTGAACCTAAAATAATTTCTGTTGCTGATGTCAAGGCTCAACTCCTGGCAAATAATGACTTACTTAAGGCCATTGTTCGCACACTCATTGTAATCGCCAATAAGGGCAAGGATGATCCTCCAATCAATACAACAACTATTAAAGATATTCTACTGGAGAATCTTACATAATGGATATAGACTCCAATATACAATCTCAGCTATGCATTGCTCAGTTTAATATACAAAGTGTATACAGTAAAAAGCCCTTACTCTTAAAGTTTCTTAATGATAAAAATATTGATATTTGCCTTTTAAATGAAACGTGGATTAAAGATAACAAACCTTTCCACATTCCTGAATATAATATACATTTCAAAAATGCAGCTAATGAACATGGGGGAATAGCTATCCTCATAAAACATAATTTAAAGTATACAACTTTACAAACCACATTTTATGAAGATGTACAAACTGTTGCAATTTCTCTTTCTACAGAGTTAGGTGACTTATCTATTTTGACTGTGTATTGTCCACCACACAGTGGCCATACTAGATTAAACAAATTGAGAAATATCATAAAAGAACTGCCCAAGCCAGTGTTCATTTCAGGAGACTTTAATGCTCATCATATTGCTTTTGGCTGTGTAAGCACCAAGGGCAGAGGGCAGCAACTATATGATATAATTGATGAGTTGGATCTATGCTTGTTGAATGATGGCAGTTTCACAACAAATAATCGGCCTAATTGTAACCCATCAGCTATTGATATCACTTTTACAAGTGCAGTTTTAGCACCACTGTGTGATTGGACTGTACATGATGACAGTATGGGTAGTTATCATTTCCCTACAATTACAAATCTTACTTTAGCTGTTAATAAATATCAAACAAATCCTCCAATAGAGAAATTTTTATACAAAAAAGCAGATTGGGTGAAGTACTGTGAAATATCTGAAACTTTATTTAATGATATCAATGTGGATACTGAGAACCCTTTGAAGTCATATAATACCTTCTGTAATAGACTTAGCTCTTTGAAGTTACTTTGCATCCCAAAGTATACCAAGACTAGTTCATATAGAAGTAGGCCACCAGCGCCATGGTGGAATGAGAAGTGCGAACAAAGCGTCATTAAGTCTTATCAAGCTTTAAAATACTATAGAAGTAATCCTACAATGGATAACTACATTATATATAAGAAGTTAGACGCCTTGAAAAAGAGAACCATATCTGAAGAAAAGAAAAATGGTTGGCGCAATCTCTGTGAGTCTTTTAATAGAAATACTCCTATCAGTAAGATATGGAACTATATTAAAATGTTTAAGGGTAGGAAAACTCATAATAAATCACTTTCTGATGAATTTGTTTTGCCACTCTTAGATAAACTATCAGATAATGGATCTGATGGTATAGTTGATGTTGATATGTATTTTAATATTAATAATGATAATAATGAGACACAGTTTTTAATTGAACCTTTTACATGGCATGAGTTTAATATGAGTCTTCATTCCCGAAAAAATTCTGCGCCTGGATTGGACAACTTTCCTTATATTTTGATAAAACATTTACATATATTGGTGCAAAAATTGTTTCTGAACATTCTTAATGCACTTTGGCTCCATCAAGTAATTCCACTGTCTTGGAAAACACAATGTGTGATACCAGTGCTTAAACCAGATAAACCAGTCAATGATGCTAACTCATATCGACCTATTTCATTATCATCCTGTCTTGGAAAAATTTTTGAGAACATGGTTAAGATTCGTCTTGATTGGTATGTGGAATCGAAGTGCATTATCCCAACTATTCAATTTGGCTTCAGAAGAGGCAGAAGTTGTGCAGACAGCTTTGTTTCTCTTATCTCAGATCTGAAAAGAGCAAGAAATAATAATGCTAGTGCAGTATGTACCTTTTTAGATGTACAGGGGGCATTTGATAATGTGCAACCTGGTATTTTGATTAAAATTCTGTCTGATTTAGGTATTCCAGGAAAATTTTGTAAATGGATATACTCTTTCTTAAATGAAAGAATACTATATGTAAAACACAATAATATTTTACATGGTCCTAGGCAAGTGTCAAAAGGAACAATGCAAGGGGCAACTTTGTCCCCATTGTTATATAATATATATACATCTCAAATTTGTAAATATGTAAATATGGATAATGTAAATATTTTGCAGTTTGCTGATGACCTTGTTGTATATAGTGTACATAATGATATTGATTTGGCAATTGCTAATATTAATAATGCTCTTAGTCAATTATATCACTACTACAACAATAAACTTCGATTAAATATCAATCCCAACAAAAGTAATGTAATGTTTATAACAAAAGATTTACCTAGCTTGTCTGTGTTATACAATGATAAAGCAATTCCTATAGTAAGCAGTCATAAATTTTTAGGTGTGCAAATTGATAATAAACTGACATTCCAAGGTCATATCAAGTACATTTTACAAAATTCTTTGAAAGGCTTAAATATCATGAGGTGTTTGGCAGGAGTCTCCTGGGGAGCTGACCCAGTTACTCTTGCTATTTTGTACAAAGCCATTGTAAGAAGCCATTTTGATTACAGTTGTCTAGCCTATATTGATTGTAATTATGTACATAGATTAGATATAGCACAAAACAAAGGTCTGAGGATAATATCTGGCGCCATGTGCTCAACTCCCATCCGTGCCATGGAAGTTGAGACAGGGGTGATGCCCCTTAGTATAAGAAGATATCTACTTGCTCAAAGATTTTCTGTAAAGCTATTTGCAGCTAATAATAATGAAGTTTTAAGAAGAATTTTACCTCAGTATCCAGTAGTTCACAATGTGTCTGGTGTGACTGGGGCTGGCCTTCACTGTCATATTATCCCAGATTTATCTCAGGTTATCCTGGAAGCACATTTTAAATTTTCGAATATAATTAAAAGTTCTCATTGGGCATGTTACTCCACAAAGTACAAGATATTGTTATTTGAAGTCTCAATTATAAATACAGTAGTTAGTAATAATGAGGAGTTATTAAACTTTATTCACCTTAACAGTCACTATTATAGACTTTATACCGATGGCAGTAAGGGTTTGTCTCATGTTCGCAGTGCTGTTTATGATCCTCAAATTCAGTTTTGTCAAAGCTTTGAGCTTAGTCTTTTATGTAGCATATTCACTGCAGAGGCTTATGCAGTTCTTGAGGCCCTGAAAAAAATTTCATCAATGCATTACACAACCTATTTAATTTTGACTGACTCTTTAAGTGTGATTAAAGCATTAGAGAATATTAATTTTCATTTCAAAACAAATTATCTTTTAATTAAGATTCGAGAAGTTTTATTTAATTTAAAAAATAAAGGCATTTCAGTTTCTTTTATGTGGATCCCTTCACATAAAGGTATTACTGGCAATGAAATCGCTGATAGAGCTGCATTTGATGGGATAAATTGTATAAATGTATCTAATATTGTAAAGGTACCTT